CCAGTGGAACTTCAAAATCGTTAAAATTCATGGCTCCCGCCGCATTGCACGGGTACACAACTAGTAATTAATCAATATGTATATAAATTGTCGGATTTTTAATATTTGATTTAAATTGTGACGTAGAAATTCCACACGCCGATTTCGTCGAACAAAGCTATGTATGTATACATCTTTTCCACAAATAGTAACTGTCACTTCCTAGCCATTTTTGTCGTTTTATAATTAATGCCCTAAAAAACTTAATATAATTTGTTTGAATATTATATATAGGGGAGTGCTAATGGCACCCCCTTTCATGTCAGAATCAGATCATTTCAAGCATTGAGAATGTAAAAAATATGTATTGATGTTGATGTGTGTGAGAAAGAAATTCATGGATAGAGGTGCATTAAGCAATGCATAAGGGTGTATTTAGCCCACCCCTATATATATTTAAAGAAACTTAATTAAAATAATTATGTCTTGACCATTTTTCGTTACGAATTACATAAATGTCATTCTCTTTGTAATTTTCAGGTCCGTAAATTAACGACACAAAAAAATCATTTTTTAACCAAATGTGTGTGAAAAAGTAAACTTTTGTAGTGGACATGGGTGGAAATGTAATTTTTTTTTTGCGGATGTAGGCGAAAAATATATATTATTTTGTCGTTTAAGTAGGTCCGTAATTCGAAGGAAGTGATATTTGTGTAATTCTTAAAAAGAACTGAGTAAGAGGTGAAGACTTGGGATCATATGAGACTAAGACTTTTTCGTGAGACCCGTAAGACCAATTCTCAACCCTTGGATTAGATCTACAATCTCAATATTCATAATCACAAAATTGCCACGAGATTTCTCAATAATTACAAAATTGTCACCGTGCAATTTTAGACCATTAGATCGTTACCTTATAAAGTTGATCAATGAATATAAATTGGTCTCACGAAAAACCCTTGGTCTCACGTGAACCCAACCCAAGAGGTGAAAACCGTATGATTAAAATGACTATTTTGATTAATTTTTTTATTTTTAATTGTATGTTCTTAATGACACAATTACAAATTTGGTCCATGTGGTATGTTAAAAGTAAAACTTTTCACTCTCGTAGTTTTAAAATTACATGATAGCCATTGTAGTTTGTAAAAACGTTTGGAGTTGATCCATTTATCTAGCAACCGTTACAAAAAAAATTAAATAAGAGGGCATTTTTGTCCTTTTATCGATTTTTTTGTCCTTTATCTAATCAAAAAACATAAAATTGATAAAGGAACAAAAATACTCTTTATTTCCGGTGCAAGACTTTGTATCATGGTACTAACTTATTTAATAATTCATTAGTTTTTAATTTTTTTTATGTATTAAATAATAAACTTTGAAGCTTTAACTATTTTGTTTGAACATTTAAATGCAAAAGATGTTAACTCAAAAATTGAACATGATGACAAATTTCATATATGTAACTTGAAGTTTGTACAAAACCAATACCAACATATATCAATCGAAAAAAGTTGGTACCGAGTACAATTGATTGATACATGGTATAAGATTTTACATACTAATTATAATTACTTGATATACGGTATTGGAGAAAAAAACTTGATACCGTACCAAATGCACCTTTTATTATTTAAAATAACAATTATTTATAAAAAAAACTTGGGATTAAAAATATGTGAGAATAGTATAAAATTAAAAACACCAAGTACAAGTATACATGAAAAAGATATGTTTGGTCTTTCCAAAGTTGTTTGACACTTTGTGTGTTTCCTATTTTGAACCCAAATTTAAATTCAATTTTCTTCTTTCTCTAGAAATAAACTAAAATTTGAAGCAACAATATCAGAAAGGGTTTCAGATCTTACATGTACCCCACCCTAACC